AGACAGAAGCAGGAGATTCTTTGAGTTTATACCCAATAGAAAGAAGAGCAACTGCTAAAACCCCAAATAGAGATTGGCTAGATGGAAGTAGTTCATGTACGGCTCGGGAAATGTTCTTTGGCTTCAATTTGCACTTCCCTTACTTAAGTAATAGTAAATAATAAAAAATAGATTAATTTTTTTTTTTCGCATTTTTTTTTCAGGAGATAAAATCCTCTTTTCAATTTCTCACTTTTGTATAAAAACATGTTTTATTCAGGAAAAATCCATATTAGTCAGATATCGTCACCCATAAGACAATAATGGTCGTTAAACATGATGTTTTGTTAAATTCTTGGACCCCACAAGTAAGCCTATTTAAATTATGTTTCTGGTTTTATTTCTCGGATTGAGCTCATCTGCTAAAATTTCAACTAGGCTCTGTTTGAATTCCCTGTAAGATCAGCTGTGAATAGTTGCATTTATGATTATGACTATAGCGGTACTTTTTAACTGTTTACACAGGCCACTACACTCTAGCACTCATTTTGTGTTGGATGGGTGAACATTTTTGCCCCTAGTAGTTATAGCTTTGACAAGAAGTTTTATTCTACGTGTGATAAATGGATACTAGCACAGTTAAATAAAAAAAAAAAAAAAAAAAAAAGGGGGGTGATTTGACCAAGATAATCAAATTGATTACCTGGCCAAACCAGCCCCCCATCATTGAAATGTGCAAATTCTTTTCCGAGGGAGAGAGGGAGAAAGATAGAGCATTTACACATTCATTGCCCGTATTTAAACTGATAATAAGCACCTCTATTTAACTTTCAGTACTCAAAATATATAGAAATTAAGCTCTTCTACAAATTAGCATGAGCAATGTTAATATGTTAATAAACCGGTTCACTTAACACTAAGACTGAGGCCATTAATATAAAGGTAGTTTGGTCTTTCTGTGTGGCAAACCATGCCAGCATCCTAGTGTTAGAATTCCAGCCACCCTTTTGAGTTTGAAGGATCAAAACTCCTAAATATATAGATCAATAATCATAACATATAGCCTAACAAGTAACAACCCTAAAGTCCTCAAAATCATTATGTACTCCCATTATCGATCATTAAAATTATACTCAACCATCAACATATTATATAGTTATGTTCCAGACTTCCAGTACAAACATTTGATTGTGTCTTGAAACTTCTAAGTTCCCAAATGGGTACTGTACTCTTGCTATAGTCAATCAAACAATTTGTGTAACTTTCCCTAGCTAATTTAACAAACATAATACATTCACCCTTCGTTATTTTCTTATTCACAGTTAGGCAACCTGGAAGGGATATAAATAAAAAACAGTATTGCTGTTGTTGAAGTAATCTACTATTGTGATAAAAGTTTCATATTATTTTCCCGTAATAAATACATAGCATTATTTAAAGGGAACATGTAAAATAGCCATTTTTGATGACACCTAAGCATTCCTAGAACAAAAAGACTCAAAGTTGGGAACAGTTCGATTAAGTAATTAGAAGGAAATATCGCACTAATTCTTAGGAAAGAAACATATTGGAAATTGTTTCAGAAACAAATGAAATGAAATTAGAAACAAAAAAAGAAAGAAAAAAAAACTTCCTGAAAAATGAAAAATTTATCTTCATAAATATTTACTCGTGCCAAGGTAAAAACAAATTCACTTAAAGAAAACATGTACTGAATTATCAAGGACATTGAAAAACTGAAACAGTAGTTTTTAGGTATATGATGAAGCAAAGGAAAACAATGCTAGATAGTCCTTCTAAGCTCTGCCAGATATACTCCATCACAATATTGAATATGGTTGTTCCACCACTTAAAATATCAGGATGAATAAATTCAATAAATTTCAATGCTCCTCCATACATTCTGTGTCTTCAAATCCTCATATAGAAATTAATAATTCTCTCACCAAGAAGCAGGTACCTTCAAAAGTCTCATGCTTCTCATGAAGCCTAATATTGCCCTGTGGCTGATCCATCAATTTTCTCCCTATGAAAGGCATTATACAATTGGCTCCACAAAAAGAAAAATCACACACCACTATCTGCATTTATAGAAAGAGAAGATATGAACCTCATATCTTTACACTTGAATGACGTACTTCATCAAGAAAATACCACCACACACTATCCGCATTTATCTGTCACACGCTACTTTGTAAACAGCAACACTAATGTATTTGACAAACCATGAAGAACCACCCCACCCCCCCCCACCCCCCAAAAGAAAAAAAAAAGAAATTTTTAACTCACTAACCGTGTCCCTTTACAGTCCATACCACTAAGCCATTTCCTAAAAATGACTCGTCTAAAAGTGCTCTGTAGCTTTTAACACTGAAATTCACAATCTACATTATGAATATTGTAAGCAAATCTCGTAATATTTTATTAAATGGGATTTTTTTCAATAAAAACAAAGGGCCTAACATTGCAAACAACTTGATGAATTATTCTCAAATGTTTTAGAATTGAATTTGATTACAGGTAATATACAATTCAATTAATAGACAAAGCAACCAGAATATTTTGATCACTGTCAAGATAACCTTACTTCAGTTAAGCTTC